AATAGACAGGGAACCACTAATAATACAAAGACAAAGACAAAACCACATCATGACAGTTATACATGCATCACATATGTCTCGACTAAAATATTCTACCATGTGAGATCACAATTTAAGGCACAAACTGATAGGCTATGTAATTTTTAATGTACAAATAAATGTGAGCACTGTGCATTTGTACTAGAAGATAGGTGGTAATTTTGGATTAATTTGTAAATGACAAACAAAAATGGATCATTTTTAAATCCATAAAATAACTAATTTAACATTCTGGCATTTATGTGCCGTTGACTTCCTCCTTGTTCACATTCTTGCACATAGGGATTCAAAAGAGATGTTTTCCCCCCTTTTTAATTTAGCTATGATAGAACAGTTTAGATTATTTATTTTGACAACTAATATAGAAAGTTGAAGAGTTTATTGATTATATAAAATTCAATGAAGGTTGAATAATCTTTGAACTACAGTAGTTATCTGCATGTCTCATCCATGAAGGTGCAACAATGTTTTGAGAACGAGAACCAAGCTAACTGAGCAAGTTAAACTTTAGCTATAGTGTGTGCTCCTTTATATGCCTGGAGTAATAATAATAATAAAAAGATCAAATTCACTCAGTACTCCATGATTACTAATTCACTACTATCTCAATTACAATTAAGTACAAATTAACTGTATTGAGTTGTGTAATATTGTGTAATGAGTTGTGTAGGTAAGCACTAAAACAGTCCAACACATTATTTAAACTTGTGTTAAAATAATTAAGATTTCTGTGCCACCTAAGACAGTTTGCTGGCCACCACTGGTTGTTTGGTGAAGTGCTTTCATGATGACTGCACAGGAGTTGTTTTTTTTTATTTTTTTATGAATGGGAGCGGCTGACACTCATAATTCATATTTACCCTCTGATGTCTAGGGTTTTTTTGGGGTTCGTTAACCCTGTTTGCATTACAGAATGTTCATAAAGCGCTATACCGTTCAGAGTAACCGGGTCGTCTCATTCAAAACAGCCAGCTGTTGCTGTCCGGCGTATCCGTTTTTATTTCGGCTCTCATGTTAAAGGGTTAGTTCACCCAAAAATGAAAATTCTGTCAGTATTTACTCACCCTCATGTTGTTCCAACCCCGTAAGACCTTCGTTCATCTTCGGAACACAAATTAAGATATTTAAGATATTAAGATCGCTCCTGCATACAGTCCATAGGCTTCTTGAGGGACTGGCTCTTGCTGTCCCCGAAAAGTCATTAAAGACATCGTTAAAATAGTCCAAGTGACTACAGTGGCTCAATCTTAAGTTTATCAAACGACGAGAACACTTTTGTGCGCAAAAAAACAACAAAAATAACGACTTTATTTCAACTATTCACTTCCTTCTCCATGAGCCTGTAAGTCAGTTAACGTAGTGTGATTGCGTAAAGCTACGTCACACGTAGGCTCACTATTGGCCGACGCTGGTCATGTGTGTGTGATGCGTGTGACGTACAATAACAGAAGCTTACGCTATTAAACTAGTAACCTGACTCGCGCAGAGGGAGAAATAAACGAATAGTTGAAATAAAGTTGTTATTTTTATTGTTTTTTTGCGCACAAAAGTGTTCTCGTCGTTTGATAAACTTAAGATAGAGCCACTGTAGTCACTTGGACTATTTTAACGATGTCTTTAATGACTTTTCGGGGACAGCAAGAGCCAGTCCCTCAAGAAGCCTATGGACTGTATGCAGGAGCGATCTTAATATCTTAAATATCTTAATTTGTGTTCCGAAGATGAACGAAGGTCTTACGGGGTTGGAACAACATGAGGGTGAGTAAATACTGACAGAATTTTCATTTTTGGGTGAACTAACCCTTTAACAGGTTAGAGCTTGCACACTGCCTGAGTGACACGCGCATATCAGGCGCACATGAGCTGCGCGGAAATCGCGTGCATGCCAGAAATAGAACCGAAGCCTATTTTTCATGCGACACACAAGCATTAGAAGGGTTTCCAGGTAAAACAGAATAGGAAAATATGTTTATATGTTATTTTGTACACGAATACATATTGATAAATTAAATGTTGATGGTTGAAGTTTAGGTTGACAAATTTTGATATAAATATAATTTAAAAATAAATAAATATCAATTTTTAAATATTGCAATACAAATCTATACCTTTCAGTATCTGTCTATACAGAACTAAATATTCTGTGGTCTATTTTGCTGTCAATACTGCTGACAGTGTCTTTATCAGTATATTTGCTTAGCATTTTAAAGTTGATTGTAACAATATTACCATAGCAAACTGTGAGATATGTAAACTTGTGATCTCAAAAGGTGGAAAGAAAAAGGCAACATTTAACACAGCAAACCTTATACAGTTTTAAGAGTTTTAAAAGGGGAGAAAAATGCCCCTTGATTGTGAGATGGGCCGCAGGACATCACAGCCAAGATAGCACAAATGATTGCAATGAGTGCTATTTGTTTTTATACATTTGCACTAAAGTCCAAAAGTGAAGAATTTGTTTATTACCTGATTGTTCAAGCTACCTCACAGAAGTGATCTGTTTGTTAACATGTTTGTATTTTCAGAGAATTATGATTAAGCATGGCACATGTTTATTGAAAAAAACAAAAATCTGAAAATCATCCTGCCTAATCATTCACATAAAACAATGCATTGATTGAAATCTTGTAAGAAACGTTTTGTTTGGAAAGGCAATATACATGGGGGCGTGAATGATCATGAATAATGATGTGCAGGAAGACAATGACCTGCATAATGAGCCTTTCATTCAGGTGTTGAGACCACAAGAAAGAATGTGAGGACTTATTTTGTATGCATGCAAATTGTCTAACTATGCAGTTCATTATCATAGTGTATTTTCAGAAAGTTTTGGAATATATCCTCTCCCCAAATGCGTCACTAAAAAAAAACAATAATAAATAATTTAATGAGAAGGCTTATATCTTGTAAACATTTTAAAATGTTTTCACATGTAAATCAACAATTACAATTTTAAAAATATTTTCAGCGTAATCTTTTTTTTTTTAAGTACACATTTTATCATACGCTTTTCAAAGTTAAGGAATCATTAGTTTGAATATAGCCTACACTGGAACAAACACTATAATAACATCTGTTAGTTGATTCATTTATTTTTGACAAAATATTTTTGCTCCTCGAAATGAAACTAAACCAGCACTTCTGACATAAATTTTTACCAGGATTATTATTACAATAGTATTATTCCTCACAGCGTCGCAAGACGACTTGAATGTGTTTTATCGAGGTGATGTGGGAGGATCGTCTCAGTTCATTTGTGTTTGAATAGCGCGCGCTCTCCGTGGGCATGTTCACATTAGCAATTAATGAGCTGTAATGAGAACGACTCACATCTCTCTCTTTTCATACAGATTACACAAACAGAGAATATTTGTTTTCCTTTTGAATTAGATAATTTAATAGTAGACACTTAAATGATTATAAAGATATTGCTGGTGCCTGGGTGAATAGTATTCGCTGAGTTTTGTTTAAATTTATAGATGTGAGATGCAAATTTAGAGAAAAAAAGTTCACGGAGATGGAGAGGCAGAAAGCACACCCTGTATATTTACTTTATTTTACAAAAGCACAATGTTTTATTTTGATTGTAAGTGGTCACATAAAAAAGTAGACATTGGCCGTTTCTCAAAACCAAGAATGCCAAGAACGGACTTAGTTGTTCTTGGAAGAACGAACTCACGAGGTGATGAGCACACAGAACGCTGCTGATAGTTTGAGACGATGTGTTCTTGCTGGTATTGCGCAATAGTAACGTTACTCCCGCAATGACGACGTCTGCAGTGCCCAAACATAACGAGAATTATTATACAGCCAGGCTTTATCACCCAAGCCTAAGGAATTACTCTACATACACTACAAAGTAATGTATATCCACAACAATAAAGCAACACCTGTCTCAATTTAATTCTGCTTCTGTTGTTTGTTTGTGTACATCACTAGCCAACGGCGGGAAAAACGCCGGTAATATTCTTTTACTGTCTATGGTAATAGTCAGGTAACTTTTGACCTGCCTGCTTCCCGCTCCTTCCGCGAATGCCGAAATGAATTATGGGATATTTCTGCCGTCAAGTTCACACAAGTTACCAACCGATGCATCCTCGGTAAAATGGGAGTGTCAAGAACACATCCGGGATTTTTAACCGTTCTTGCCTAAATGCAAACTTGTGTATTGGGACCGTACTTGGGCCGCGACTGATGACGTTTTACAAGTCCACAAGAACACAAGTACAGACAAGAAGGCATATTGAGAAACGGCCATTGAACAGTTTCTTTTTTCACATGTCTGAAGTCTTTATAACCATAACCGACAGAGTATTTTAAGTCTATTTTGCTGCTTTGTGGAAAAAAAAAAAAGAGGGTTAACCCTAGAGGGTTAAAGGTATCGACAGATTTTTTCATTAAATAACTCCTGACACAAATTAATAGATAACTGTCACTATAAGTTTCTCAAAATAAAAGTGGTGAAATACTGAAACTTGATTCTTATATCTTTGTAATGATGTATAATTTGTCAAAATAATAACATTAAATCTGACATCAACTTTGAACTATTTAAACCAAGACCGATTCAGTGCGTTGACGTCCTCGTGAAGGCTCACAGTTAACATACTAAAAGTATTTTTTTTTCGCTTTTATATATATATATATATGTATATATTTTTGCTGTCAGAATAGCGGTCAGATTACCACAGTGCTATTCATTGGGAGTGAGTCGTGTTCTGTATATACATGGAAAGATTATTAAGGGAACGATTATTTACGATAATTTACAAACATGGAAAGATAATTTAAGGGACTCACTCTCACATTTAAATGCAGTTGTCAATCCTGAAACTTTACAGTGTTTATGTGGCCTTACATCCACACAAAACATTCTTATACATATATTTTGTAAAGAGAATATCTAAAACAAATCACACCATTTTTGTTGAGTTTTTTTTGTCTGTTGACACACCACTTACCTCAGTATCTCCAATGTACACTTAATATTCTTCAGTCCAGTGCAGAGCAGCTTCACTCCTGAATCCTGTAGATTATTATTGTTCATGTTCAGCTCTTTCAGATTGGCATCTGATCCAAGAACTGTAGCCAGAGCTGAACAGCTTTTGGCTGTTAAGTTACAATCATTTAGCCTACAATATAAAGAAATCACATAAAATAATTTAATGAAACATATAGAAAACATTCTCTGTATAAAATACATAAATATTTTCCATTATTTTTATATTAACAGTAAATATACAGTGAGGAGGGTGAGCAACACTGACATTACAGGTCAACTAGTCTTTTCTATATCTTAGTATTTTTGAAAAAGTTACTAGATAAAACAAACAGTGTGCTTTGTTCTTTGCAAACCGAACTTCATGTTTTGATGAAAATATGTGGTATATGATTAAGAATCACTATAGAGCCGTGTAGGTAAAGGAGATGAAACCAAAATATGACTAATTACATTAAATTACTTACAGAGCTCTTTTGGCGGTTTTGATGACTGCCGATAATCTAATAAGACACTCATCTGATTTCTTGAATTTCTGAAGCTCAAACTCCTCCAGCTCTTCCTCTGATGTCAACAACACAAAGGCTAAAGCAGACCACTGGGCAGGTGAAAGGTCAGCAGATGAGAGACTTCCTTTGCTAAGGTGGGTCTGAATCTCGTTCACCAGAGTTTGATCGTTCAGTTCATTCAGACAGTAGAACAGATTGATGGATCTCTCTGCAGGAAGATTAGCTTCTAATTTCTGCTTGATGTACTGAACTATTTCCTTGTTGCTTTGGTCAGTGCCGTCTCGCTGTGTCAACAGACCTTGTAAGAGTCGTCGATTGGACTGGAGTGACAGACCGAGGAGGAAGCGAAGGAAAAGGTCCAGGTGTCCATTGTCACTCTCCAGCGCCTTGTCCACTGCAGTCTTGAGAAAATCAATCATGGTTTCATTTCTGTTTTCCTGTTCTGTAGACTCATGATCAAACACACTTGTCTTGTTCATGTCTAGAAACAGATGTGCATAAAGGGCTGCAATAAACTCTTGAATGCTCAAGTGAACAAAGCAGTACATGGTACCAAGAACGATCCCTGTTTCCTCCTTAAAGATCTGGGTACACATGCCTGAGTACACTGATGCCTTATAGACGTCAAGACCACAGGCTTCCAGGTCTGTGTCATAGAAGATCAGGTTGTTTTCTTCCAGATGATGAAATGCCAGTTTCCCCAGTGAAAGGATGGTGTCTTTATCCCAGGAAACATCTGGTGTGTATTCTCCATCATATTTCCGGCGGCTCTGCTGGATCTGAAAGCGGAGAAAGTGTGTGTACATTTGTGTCAGAGTCTTGGGAGTGTCTTCAGTGTTTGATTCCTGCAGTGTTTTAGAGATCTCATCAGCCTGAGTGTTTCTCACATCATTATTTCTCTTCTCCTCCAGAATGTTCTGGAGAACAGTGGCTGAAATCCAGCAGAAGACTGGGATGTGGCACATGATAAAGAGACTCTTTGATTGTTTAACATGATCTATGATTTCATTGGCCATTTTCTCATCTTTGAATCTTTTTCTGAAGTACTCTTGCTTTTGTGCGTCACTGAATCCTCGTATCTCTGTCAGCCGGTCGATACAGTCAGGAGGAATCTTACTGGCCGCTGCTGGTCTGCTGGTGATCCAGACGAGAGCAGAAGGAAGCAGATTTCCCTTCATGAGGTTCGTTAGGAGAACATCCAGAGAGGCTGGTGACGATACATCACTCAACGTCTCATTACTCTTAAACTTCAGAGGAAGGCGACATTCGTCCAGTCCATCAAGGATGAACAGCACTTTGAACTGATTCCTTCTTGTAAGGTTCAGTCCTTTTGTCTCTGGGAAAAACTGAGTTATAAGACTCATCAAACTTAGTTTTTCTTTCTTCTTTAAGTTCATCTCTCTGAATGGAAGAGGAAATATGAAGCTGATATCTTGATTTTCTTTTCCTTCAGCCCAGTCCAGAACAAACTTTTGCACAGAGACTGATTTCCCGATGCCAGCGACTCCTTTTGTCAGTACAGTTCGGATCTCCTGGTGTTGTTCAGGCGCTTCAAACAAATGTGTGCATTCAACCTGTATCTCTTGTGCTTCATGACGTCTGGAAGCAACTTCAATCTGTCTGACCTCATGTTCAGTATTGACCTGTTCACTGCCACCCTGAGTGATGTAGAGATCTGTGTAGATGTTATTCAGGAGTGTGGAGTCACCTTGCTTTGCAATTCCTTCAAACACACATTGATACTTCTTCTTTAGGCCACATTTCAGCTGATGAATGAAGAACAGCTCATCTAAACACAGGAAAAACAAACAGTTTTAGTCTTCATTTTCTCTCCTACATTTATAAGAGACAATCAGACAGATGATGACGCGTGTCTTGCCTTCTAGAGCATCAGCAGCTTCATCTTGCTTCATCTCTCTTAGGTAATGAAGTGTGAGATCAAGAGCTGCTTCTCTGATACTGGATCTGTTCTCATTAAAGTCCTCCACTAAGGATTGTTTGTTCTGTTTTTTTAATATTTTCTTAAACTTTTCCAGCTCATTTTTCAGTAAGGTGATTATTTTCCTCTCAAGGTCCTACAAAGCAAAAATAAATAATTAAAATTAAATAAAACCGTACATCTATATTTATAAAACAAATAAAATAAAAGTAAAAACTCAAACATTTTAATTAGCTGTAATTATTAATAAATAAAAATAAACTGTTTTCACATTTCATTCTTATTTTATGGGTTCTTAAAATGAAAAGTAAATGGTCAAAAATAATTAGAAATTACATTTCTAGTGAGTACTTTTTCAGGAAAACATGATAAATAATCTATTATTTTTTATAATTATTAAATATTTATAAAAATGTAAAGCATTTTTTTACCTGGAAGATCCACAGGAGATTATCTGTGAAATTCTTGTGTTTCCTGTGAGTCTGTAAATCTGAATCTAATGTTTCATATTTAAGCCTGTTAGCAAAAAATAAATAAATAAATAAAAAGTAAATAAATACTGCATTCCCGGGAAATATATAACCAAAATCTCTAGTAAATGATTTTAGCTTAATATATAGTAAATATTTGAACTATACAGCTTTATGCTAATTATTCATTGATACACTTTCTAACACAGTCTGTGACCAAACATAATAAACACATGAAATACCCTTTGGTTGGTGATGGTGTTTTCTCACTGAAGTTGGGTTGGCCACCATCCTTTGACCAGTCACTCTTCACAGACACAGAGCTGGACACATGTGAACTTGATCTTTCACGGATGAGAGAAAAAAGTGAGAGAAAAAAAAACACTTCACTACAGAAGATACTTCAGTCTCATTATTAGAGGACGTTAATGTTAGAAATGGTAATTAAATACAGTATAGTTGTGTATTTGTCCCTCTCATGACTGGATAGATGGTGTATTGACTTTACAAAGCCATTGCCGTTGATAATAGGAGTAAGCAAGTATAGAAGCGTACAAACAGAGTCCATGCATGTAGATGTAAGCTGTACAAATGTCTGATGTAGATGTAGATGCAAACAAATGTCTTTCTTTATTCCTTGTGCTCTATTAAACATGATGTCAAAACTTGTCTTAAAACTTCTTGTGGCCTTTCCTCGTTCACACGTACACACAAAGCCATACCTTGTGGACAGCATAAGAAATCCACCTTGCGAGACACTGCTGTGCGGTCAAAAAACAGTGTGCTTTCCAATTACCAACACACACACACACACACACACACACACTTGTTGCTCAGGTGCTCTAATTATACACAGCCACAGCACCAATGGACGAAAAACTTTACCATCCAACAAATGGCTCCTACAGATGAATTTATTCATGTTTTGTTGCATGATATTTTCTGGTAAATTTATGCCCCCTAGTGGCGTTCTGTGTTATTGTGTTACTGGAGAGAAGCTCCTCCAGACTGAGTTCAGTAAAAAAAGGAAATCAGACTAGCGGACATTGTTTTCTGTGAATTATAGTTGTATTTAGTTAATTTCATCACACTGTGTAGAAATTATAACTCCATAATGTAAAAAACATAAAAATACCTTTTGATAGATGTCTTTTTCTCACTGAAGTTCGGTTGCCCACCATCCTTTGACCAGTCACTCTTCACAGACACAGAGCTGGACACATGTGAACTTGATCTTTTACTAATAACAAATAAAGACAAGATAAAGTTTAATTACAGAAGTTTATCATTGTCTGATAACGGCACAAACTCTCTCTAATCCTTCACAGATGTATAATGTGATAAAGAATTTGCACAATCATTACTGAAAACTTTTTGGAGAATTTTTTGCATTAATTTTAATTTTAAAAATCAATGTACATTTAGCCTATAACACAACTTTAGTACTGCAATGTAACACTTCTGCTGAAGGAGAGGCAGAAAATATTGATTTAGACTGTAAATATTAATTTTACTTTTCAGATTTAAGATGTTTATCATCTACCGGCCTCAAAATAATGATATTTTATGCTGTTTTTTAAATAAGAAGTTCTGAAAAGCATTTACAAATATAAAACAATGCTTAGATCTTCACAGGAAGAATCTAAAACTTCAGTAGTTTAAAATGATTGTGAAAACAGACGCAGTCTTACCTCTGTTCTGTCTTAGAGACAGAGTCATTTCCTCGCTCCTCTGACATACTGCAGCTAAACTAACATTGGAAACAGATCAGCACTGGTTTCAGTTTGACCTGGAGATGGCAATATATGTTCCTGAGATTAATAACATGGCATAAAATAACATAATCAAGAAAATAATGAAGAATGTGAAGTTAGCAGCAACAGCAAACACTATAACATAAAGTGAGTCATGCCTCTAAATGTAGAAGTGAATAGACATTAACACTGTGTTCAAATCATTGAGTGGAAAAATGAACCCAGTTTCTTACATTCTCTATAGCCGTTTAGTATCATTTTTCAATCATATTCAATGTTATATGAATTGCTTATTCTTTTGTCGCTTGATCTTTATTTTAAGTTCACAACATATTTAATCATTTTCAAATGCTCCCCTCAATACATATATCATTCATTCAGTCTTTTATTTAATATTGAAAGTAGAAAAATCAGATGTCTCCTTTTTCACTTAAAAAAGAACAAGAATTCAGCTTGCTCAATGATAGAAAAATGCAATACACAATAGGACCACATGGAGATGCCAACAGACCACTATACCAGCTGCCTTAACCTTACAGCAAAATACAAATTAAATATTAAACATTTTGAAAATAGCGACCTGAAGGCGGCTCGAGATCATCAGTGAACAGTTTCTCTGTCAGAGTCAGTGTTTGTGCCTGTGCTAGGAGTGTATGAAGGTAGATTTGTGTCTTTATTATTCAATCAAAAAAAATGTTGCTTCAATCAAAAAAAATATTTTCAATTAAAAAAAACTTCACTTCAATGAAAAAAAAACTTTTCAATCAAAGAAAAAAAGTATTTGAATCCAAAAATATATTTGAGACTCAAAAAAATACATTTGAACACTGCTTTTCTTTGATTGAAAATGTTTTCTTTGATAGAAGTCCGGGTTTTTTTGTTTAAAGCAACCTTTTTAATTAAAGTAACATTGTTTTTTGATTGGACCATATAATGGGTAGGACATTTGTGTCTTTATCATTCAATCAAAAAAGAAGTTGCTTCAAACAAACAAACAACAGAATCAATACAAAAGTCACTTCAATGAAAAGATAAACATTTTCAAATATAGAAAATCATTTTTGAATGCAAATAAAATATTTGAGACTCCAAAAATTGCATTTGAACACCTTTTGTTTTAATTGAAAATGTTCTCTTTGATTGAAGTAATCTTTTTTGTGTTTGGGCCATACATGGGTAGGACATTTGTGTCTTAATCATTCAATTCCAAAAAAGTTGTTTCAATCAAAAAAAAAATATTTTCAATCAAAGAAAAAAATTTTCAAAAGCAAAAAAAAAATTATTTACCTCGTGTATAAAAAAAGTATTGAACAGAATGTGTGTTTTCGTTGTTTTTGTTTTTTATTTGAAGTGAAAAAAAATTAGAATTTCAAATTGTTTTGATTGAATCCTTTTTTTTTTTTTTGAAGTGCAAAAAGTTTTGAAGTTCAAACTTTTTTTTGATTGAATCATTTTGACACAAACGTTCCGCAGTGGGCGGGTGCTTCTCTGTTGGTCAGACATGTTTGATTGACAAGTGTCTACACCAACGACATCTTTCTGACAAAGAAGTCATGTTCGCCACTCGCCAGCAGCTTTTTTAGAGGGGATACAATCTTTGCCTGGCAGGGGGATCTGCTACTCGACCGGCCACGGATATATGTGCCTTATATGCACTGCATTATATAGCGCCTGCCACTCGAACTTACACAATATTTACAGTAAATGCAGCGCATATTCCCCGACAGAACGGTAGGCTACGCACAATAGGTCAATATTCACCATTAACCAAACGCTTTTCACCTGCCTAGCCACAAGATTTCTCACTGTTTACACCTATCAGACACTCCTAATGGTAGGCCTAAACGAGAGCACACATACAGTACAATACAGATCTTATTTACACATTTATCATCTGATCATATATTTTATTCGTTCTTTTTGCCCGTATTGGAGCGCGTATAATAACGTGCAATCCATCTCTTATTTACCTTTTTGTCATCTTATATTATATTTTATTTGCTCTTTTTATGCGTATGGGAGTGCGCTCGCATGGCTCTATTAAGCGTCGCGCCGGCCACACCAGCCACACGATCTCTCTCTATTTACACCTAATGGTAGCTACACGAAAGCACACATAGTGCAATACAGATCTCATTTACCCATTTATCGTCTGATCTTATATTTTATTCGCTCTTTTTATGCGAACGGGTCGTGGCTCTAAGCATCGCCAGCCATACCAGCCACAAGATCTCTTATTACACCCATCAGACACTCCGATTGATGCACATGTGAAAACAGACAGTGCAATCCTGCTCTTAAGTATCTTTTTTGTCATCTTATTTTATATTTTATTTGCTCTTTTTGTCCATAATGGAGCGTGCGCGTCACCTATTAGCATCGCGCCTGCCACAAGATCTCTCACTGTTTACATGAGACACTCAGATGAGAGCATAGATGTATGCATGTCCCCACCACTTTTTGCCAGGGTCGATTTTGTACCCACCACTTTTGAAACATCTCGCGGCGCCTACTCGAAAGAGAAAAAAAATAATGAATGCGTCATTGTACCCAGCACTTTTGAAAATGCTCTTCCGAATACGTCTCTCTGTCCACCAGCACATTTCAAACCAAACCAAACTGACGCCCGTACACAAGAGCAGGATAACACTGTCTGTGTGCTCTCGTGTATTAATCGGAGTTTCTGATAGTAAACAGTGAGAGATCGTGTGGCTGGTGTGGCTGGCGCGATGCTTAGAGCCACAAGATCGATAAATAGATAATATCCTGTAGGGGTAAAAAACTTGCTGGCGAGTGGCGAACATGACTTCTTTGTCAGAAAGATGTCGTTGGTGTAGACACTTGTCAATCAAACATGTCTGACCAACAGAGAAGCACCCGCCCACTGCGGAACGTTTGTGTCAAAATGATTCAATCAAAAAAAAGTTTGAACTTCAAAACTTTTTGCACTTCAAAAAAAAAAAAAAGGATTCAATCAAAACAATTTGAAATTCTAATTTTTTTTCACTTCAAATAAAAAACAAAAACAACGAAAACACACATTCTGTTCAATACTTTTTTTATACACAAGGTAAATAATTTTTTTTTTGCTTTTGAAAATTTTTTTCTTTGATTGAAAATATTTTTTTTTTGATTGAAACAACTTTTTTGGAATTGAATGATTAAGACACAAATGTCCTACCCATGTATGGCCCAAACACAAAAAAGATTACTTCAATCAAAGAGAACATTTTCAATTAAAACAAAAGGTGTTCAAATGCAATTTTTGGAGTCTCAAATATTTTATTTGCATTCAAAAATGATTTTCTATATTTGAAAATGTTTATCTTTTCATTGAAGTGACTTTTGTATTGATTCTGTTGTTTGTTTGTTTGAAGCAACTTCTTTTTTGATTGAATGATAAAGACACAAATGTCCTACCCATTATATGGTCCAATCAAAAAACAATGTTACTTTAATTAAAAAGGTTGCTTTAAACAAAAAAACCGGACTTCTATCAAAGAAAACATTTTAAATCAAAGAAAAGCAGTGTTCAAATGTATTTTTTTGAGTCTCAAATACATTTTTGGATTCAAATACTTTTTTTCTTTGATTGAAAAGTTTTTTTTTCATTGAAGTGAAGGTTTTTTTAATTGAAAATATTTTTTTTGATTGAAGCAACATTTTTTTTTGATTGAATAATAAAGACACAAATCTACCTTCATAGGAGTGATGTCTCAATGGGGAAATGTCTCCACATGGATAATAATATTATTAGCAATAAATGTTTTGTAAAAACAAATATAATAACAGCACCTTTCGGGCTGTCAACATTTATGAAACATAGCCCTCACTCAAAAAAATGATGTGTTGGCTTTACTTAACTTTTTCATGTAAACAGGTTCCACCGGTTCCACATAACTTTGTTTTGTTAAACATAATTTGTTCATGTTACTTCAACATCATGGAAGTCATTTTAAGCCATCCAATCAAACTCTGAGCTGAGTGTTAAAGTTAATGAGACAATTAAGTGAATAACCGAGTGAGGATTGAGCATTATTGAAGACACCTGATGATCACAAGCAGAATCACTGAAGGAGAAAATCACAAATTGTAAGTCACCGTTATGGAGATCAGTGTCTGCTTTAGTTGGGCTCTTGACCCCTATATTATTAACTTAAGATTATGTTTGGCTGTACATGAGTTATAACATCCAGGTGATCACATAGAAAAGGTGGAACTGGGGATTGAATCACCAAACTTCCGGTTTGTAGTCAAACTGTATGAACCACTGTTAAATTTACCTTATGGATCATACCAGCACTGCTCTTGCAGAACATACAATTTTAGCCTTTTCAATGAAATTCAAATGATCAAATCAATAAACAAAAAAAAAATTTCTGGGTGCCACCAATCAAAATTCATTCATGGCTCCCATCATGCATTGCTGCATGAATAAATAATGAGCTTAAGACACCTAAAGCAGAATCACAAGGAAAAA